CTCGAGGCAATGGCCCCAGTAGGGGTACTCGACGAGATGGCCCCAGTAGAGGTACTCGACGAGATGGCCCCAGTGGTGGTGGTCGAAGCGATGGCCCCAGTAGAGGTACTCGACGAGATGGCCCCAGTGGTGGTAGTCGAAGCGATGGGCCCAGTGGTGGTAGTCGAAGCGATGGGCCCAGTGGTGGTGGTCGAAGCGATGGCCCCAGTGGTGGTGGTCGAAGTGATGGCCCCAGTAGTGGTAGTCGAAGCGATAGCTTCTGTACTGGTAGTCGAAGCGAGAGCCCCAGTAGAGGTACTCGATGCGATGGCCCCAGTGGTGGTGGTCGAAGCGATGGCCCCAGTAGAGGTACTCGACGAGATGGCCCCAGTAGAGGCACTCGACGCGATGGCCCCAGTGGTGGTAGTCGAAGCGATGGCCCCAGTGGTGGTGGTCGAAGTGATGGCTCCAGTTGTGGTAGTCGAAGTGATAGCTTCTGTACTGGTAGTCGAAGCGAGAGCCCCAGTAGAGGTACTCGATGCGATGGCCCCAGTGGTGGTGGTCGAAGTGATGGCTCCAGTTGTGGTAGTCGAAGTGATAGCTTCTGTACTGGTAGTCGAAGCGAGAGCCCCAGTAGAGGTACTCGATGCGATGGCCCCAGTGGTGGTGGTCGAAGCGATGGCCCCTGTAGAGGTACTCGACGAGATGGCCCCAGTAGAGGCACTCGACGCGATGGCCCCAGTGGTGGTAGTCGAAGCGATGGCCCCAGTGGTGGTGGTCGAAGTGATGGCCCCAGTGGTGGTGGTCGAAGTGATAGCCCCAGTGGTGGTGGTCGAAGTGATGGCTCCACTGGTGGTGGTCGAAGTGATGGCTCCAGTAGTGGTAGTCGAAGCGATGGCTTCTGAACTGGTAGTCGAAGCGATGGCTCCGGTAGTGGTAGTGGTACCGAGGGCTCCTGTAGTAGAACCGGCGACGGTACTGGAGAAACCGCCAGCTTCGACAGTAGTAGTGCTCAAAGAATCGGTCGTAGAAGTTGCACTGGAAGAACTGTTCTCGCTAGTCGCACTGGAACCAGCCTCGGTGGTCGTACTAGGAGAGCTGTTGGCCTCAGTGATGGTGGCAGTGGAGAAATCGACGGTATTAGTGGTAGTGCCAGTGGAAGAACTAACGGCCTCAGTGGTACTATTTAAGCCGATACCCCTGGTATTACTCGAACCAATGGCTTCAGTGGTAGTACTTGGACGAGCAGCAGCAGTAGTGGCTACCGGAGTATTCACTGTATCGCAGGCGATAGGTTCGCCGTGACAGTCAGGGTCGGCCGGCTCGAAACAAATAGAACCATCGGTCTTTTTCGACAGACCAAAGCAGACGGGGCTATTCAGCCATGACTTACAGTACGATCCGAACTTGGAATCATTACAGCCGTTGATATATTCGCACATCTGAGAACACGGATCATCCGTGGCTGAGACGACACCAATGACGAGGAGATGATTGAAACGCATTATTAACAGGAGTAAGTAACAAA